CGGAAAGAGAGGGAAGCTGCACCCTCGATTCATCGGTCCGTTCGAGGTTCTTGAGCGAGTAGGCGAGGTTGCGTATCGATTAGCCCTACCTCCCGAGTTATCAGGCATTCATAATGTATTTCACGCATCAATGTTGAGTAAGTATGTGTGCGAACCAGATCATGTTATTCCCCACTCAGATATTCAGGTTCAGCCAGATCTTTCGTACGAGGAGCGACCGGTAGCTGTACTAGACCGTCAGGTTCGTCGGCTCCGGAAGCGAGATGTTCCCCTCGTGCGTATTCAGTGGGATCGCCACGGAGCTACTTGGGAGGCGGAGTCCGATATTCGCGCTCGTTTTCCAGATTTTCAGTTCTGATGTACATATTTTCTTATTCTATGTACATAGTTCATGTATGTTCAGCTATGTTTTAAATTTCCGAGGATGGAAATTTTGTAAGGAGAGAGGATTGTAATATCCCGTCAGTTTATCAGTATAACTTATTTTTTTAGTTCCGATATTAATTTTCGGAATTAATTATTTTCAGTCATTTCAGTCAAAATTACCGGAAATTATTTTCGACGTACCGTTTACGTTCGGAATAATTTTGGTAATTAAGCATTATGTTTAATTAAAAATTAAACATAAAGGAAGTGATTAATTATTAATTAATCACATTAATTAAGTGCTAAGCCATGTGAAAATTTTCTTTCCAAATAAAAGTACGAATTGTTTGTACAAAAAAAATTCTTCCCACTAAGTCCATAATGCCGTACATTTAATTGAGGAGTGCTAGTGAATTTTTAGTCCAAACTTTCTTCATTAGTGGGATCTTAACGTGGCATCATGTTAAGCTTATTAGTGCTTAGTCATTTAAGCATTATTATGCATGCTCCAAGTGTCCTAAGGAGAGTTAGTCTCCAAATGCTTACATTCGGCGCCTCAAGTATTTAAGGGAGGAGTTTGGGAAATTTGTTCCATTTCTTCATCTAGTACCCTAAATTCCGAGAGTTGTGTGAGCTTTGTGTGAGAAATTTTAAAGTGTTGTCCACAAGATATCCAAGTAGTACCTTATCACGCCGCACCGCAAGCTAGTCAGCAACCCTGCGCGTAGCCGCAGTACCGCACAGCAGTCAGTACACACGCACGGTTAGTCGCACCGAGAGTATCGCGCACAGCTAGTTATCGTACGCGATCGCACCGCACGACGACGCCACACACGCGGAGAGCCACGCGAACACGGGAGTCTGAAGTGTTGCCGTTAGTTGATCATAATCGGAGGTAAACTCCCTGTCGTTGTAGGCTGAGATTAATACGTTTATTAAGCTCGATTTTCCGTTTAGGCGTGCATGCGTGTCCTTTGTTGTTAAGGCCGTGCGAGAAGCCGTGCCGATCATGTCATGTTTTAAGTTAAAAATTCTCCGAGCAATCCTCGCATATTTGGCCTTTATATGCAATATCATGTTCAGATTAGTTTATGTGTTCGGAGGATTATTTAGGTTTTGCGGTGTTTCGGCCGAAGGGCGTGGCCGTGCACGTTGCACGCGCCACGGGCCGTTCAC